CTTCTATGAGCCTCAGTTTTCTCGTCTGTAAAATGGGGATAACAAAAGTACCTGTGTCTGACATGCTCAATAATTGTCAGCTCTCACGATACATGTCACCAAGTGTGCTCTGGAAGCAGCAAGGAATGAGATGTCCCCCAGCACAGCCAGTTTGTGGGGGCGGGGGTGGGGCACGAAGTCTCCTCAGTGACTCCATCCTGGCCCAGGATATGGAGAGACACACTGAGTTGGCCACACTTCCCTCCCAGGACAGAGCAGCCTGTACAAAAGCCAGCAGCCTCAGAGGCACGGCCGCGAGGGACCAGCGGAGCTGGTATGGTCTGTGGTCTCAGGCAGGGATCAGCAAATTTGTTCTGGAAAAACCAGATAGTATGTAGGCCTAATTTTAGGCTTTGCAGGCCACGCACTTTCTGTCACCACGATTCGATTCTGCCACCACCGCAGGAAAGTAGCCGTGGAGGGTGAACCAACAGCGTGATTGTGTTCTGATAAACTATTAAACATGGACAGGGAAATCTGAATTTCAGGGAATTTTCCTGCGTTACAAACCCCTTCCTCACGCCACCCCGACCTCTCCTTCTGCTGTCACATCCCCTTCTCTGACTCTGACCCACCTGCCCCTCTTTTATAAGGACCCTCATAATTACACTGGTCCCTTACCTGGAAAATCCAGGATAATGTCCCTTCTCGAGATCATGACCTTCATCATATCGGCAACATTGCTTTCACAGTGACACACTCACAGGTCCTGGGGGTTAGGACGTGGGCATCTCTGGAGACGTTATTCTATCTACTGCAGAGGTATTAACAAGAGAGCGGCTGACGCAATGCCCCATGAGGTTTAAGCTGGTCACACCTCACCATCTCCACGTGTCTACACCCGCAGGCCCATGAGGGCCGAGGACAGGTGAGCAGGGTGAAGCAAGAGGGGAGCTGGAGACAAAGAGTTGACACAGAAGCCTCAGACCCGACAGCAAGGTCCAAGGGATGGCCATGGGTCCTATGAGGGTCGGGAGGGGTGAAAGAGAGGGTCGCCGGAGGTAAGATGGACAGGAAGCAAGCGGCTAGGGGCTTGGAAGGCCATCCACAGCCATGTCGAGTGATGCGGAACGGACCAGGCCAGCCCCTGTTGCCCATCTCCCGTGGTGTAGGATGTGATCCATGAGCCTGCGGATGTCAGGGATGAGGCCGGGAGAAGGTGGGCCTGTCCAGGGAGGCAACTACCTGATTGCAGGAGGAGGAGAGGTTTGGACACAGCTGTGGGCCAGGAGAATTGCACTTCCTCATGGCTCCAAGGTCAGGGATGCTGGAGCCTAAACAGCCGCCACAGAAGAGGACTTCAGGAGAAGCCAGGTGTCTGGGGACGCTGGGTATCAGCTGCCTGACTGGTACCCGGGCAGGGGAGGGGCTGCCGGGGCAGGTGATGGGGAGTTGAGCCCCGGGGCTGAAGTGGGGCAGAGGGAGAGGCAGGTACGAAAGCTGCCATCAAGCGCCGTGTCCCAGGGTCCTGCCTGCTGGCTGTGGACCTGCCCTGGGAGTCTTTGGTCCTTCCTGTCACTGGGGGATGGGGAGACTACATCTAGGGAGGTGATGCAGTTGCCAGAAAGAGAACTGAAGAGAAAATCAGGAGCGCCTTCCTGGCGCTTACCCCCAGTGTCAACCCTCGTCTGTGGCTCCTGCTTTCTGCTTATCTCCTGAACCCAGCCCTCCTCTCTACCCCTCTGCCTTATCCGAAAGGGGCTCTGTGGTCCCCAGGCTCAGCCCCCACCAGGGTGCAAGTTTCTGGACAGTGGGGAGCACACCTTCCACCTTTGCAAACTCTGAGCCAGGAGGCGGTCAATACAGGACGTTTAGTGAGTGAATGAGCAGATGATAGATCCATTAATAGATGGGGAGAATTAAGGAAGATGACCCCATATGATGACTACAGATAGAGGAAGGAAGGGAGGGATGGGCCCGGGAGAAGGAGGTGGACTGGCCACACTGTCAGCATCCAGGTGATTCTCTGTGCCTCAGTTTCCTTATCTGTACTAAGGGGATATTAATGCTACCCACTGCACGGGATTCAAACAGAGCCCAGCAGATAGGAAGCACTTGAGAAGCATCGGCCACAATGCACGTGGTGACAGGCCCCACGCTGGAGTCAGTTTGGGGGTTTGTATCACCAAAGGAGAGCTGCAAAAGACTTGTTAAGACCGAGCAAACAGAAATGCTGAAAGTCAACAGGAAAGAAGACAACAAGGTGAATCGAACCATTTCAACCCAAGGTCGGAGTTGGGCAAGTTCAAAGATCCCTAATGCCCTCCTTATCTGAGCCACCCGCTCAGGGCTCGTATTTCTGAAAAACAAGTCCCAAAGTCCTTCGGGGTCTCCCTCGGCCCCATGCAGGGGTAAGTCCTGCACAGCTGGTGCTCACTGCGGTTCCTGGGAGGACCCTTGCCACGCCAGCTCCCTTCCTCTCCCAGGGAGGGTTTTGCTGGCACCATGTCTAGAGGCAAGAGAAGATGAGGATGGAGCTGGAACAGGGGCTCATTGCTCGAATACAAGTGCATGCTTTCTGAAGGTTGACAAGCATTGCTAAAAGGAGAAAAGAGAACTTTGAGAGGCTCCCATTGGCCAAAATGCGGTCACTGGACCATCCCAAAGGAAATACCACCGTATTTAAATAGGACAAGCTGAGTCTCTAAAAGCTGAAAGGCCATAATGAACATAATGGCCTATAAATTAAGTGTAGAAAAGGTTAGTGATAATACAAATAATGGTTTTATTAATTTTAACACGTAGGGGATAAAGCTATAGGTTGCATGCCTGATTCCTTCTATTAACATTGTCACTTACAACACATAGATCTGCCTTCTTTTCCTCTGAGTAAAGATGAAAAGTGAAAACAAGAAACCATAAGCCAAACATTTCCAGAAAAAGTAAGACCTGAACCACACACAGGAAGCAGGCCCAGAGATCACGTACAGGAAGGAAGAGGGTCCGGTTGGCTGTTGCAAGTTGGATGGTTTGCAAGATGCCAACAGGAGGCAAATTCACAGTGCAAACTTAATTCACATCCTGGGAGGGCAGCCCGGGAGCATCCGACTAACCCTCCTAACGTGTACAGGCTATGACAAGGCAGACACGGAGCAGGCCTGGGGTAGAACACTCCACAAGCATCCACTCGTTCGAGCCTCACAACAACTATAATGAGAAAGACTCTTATTATCCCCATTTCACAGATGAGGAAACCAAGGCTCTGAGATCAGCCACCAAGTTGACGGGGCTACAAACCACCCCACACCCAACTTGGTCCTCTGTTCCTAACCCTGTGCCTCCAGGAAGCAAAATGAGAGCAGAGCCCAGCAGAGGGGAGTGAGGCGTTTTGGGATCAGCAGAAGCTTGAATGCAAAGAGGTGTGCCTGGACAAAGAGCACCATTCCCCCCATCTTTCTCCCGCTCAGACCCCAAAGCATCTGAACGGGCTCCCGGGCCCAAGACACATCCCCAAATATCCCATGGTAATCGGCATCGACTTAGGGCCCACCTGGGCCGAGGCTGCCTCGAGTCTTACATGAAATCATCTCATGCGCTCTTCCCAATCCTGGTACAAGCGATATATCTTGTCCTGCATATTACGGATGAGGGAACTGAGGCACTGGGAGGGTCAGTGGTGAAGCTCTCACAAAGGACAGGGGTGGAGTTCAGGCTTGAACCAGATGTTTGGCTCCTGAGCCCATGCCTTCACCACGGCCCTACAATGAAGAAGGAAGCCAGTGCCTCTGGGGGAGGGACCCCACAGTGAGCACGGGGGGACCCGAGTGGGAGTGTGCCCTGAGAGCCTGGTGCACCTGTGTGTTGCATGGGGCAGTGCAAACAGTCTGGTCCCCACGCTCTGTGGCTGTGGGGCCTCTGAAGTGTATCTCCGCCCTCCTGACCAGCCTGATCTGCTTGGCCCAGGGCCCCAGGAGGGGTAGGGTGTCCCCAGAAGCTTCTTATTTAAACCAGCCCACAGCATCTTCCTAGGACGCATTCGCGCCCAGGGAATCAGCCCAGAGGCTACTATCAACAATTCCAGAAGTAACTGAGTGGACAAGACATTCTCCACCATGGCTCCTGGTTCTAGGAACACTGTCACCGAGAATGGTCCCTAGGTGCCCTCCCCCACCGCCAACCAGGATTCTGTCCTTGCTCGGTTTCCCAGATCATCCCACCCCTTCTTCCTAAGATATGTGTCCAGAGGAGCTCTCCGCAACAGGAAATCCCAGGGGAGTAGGGGCCACGGAGCATGAGGATCGGGAGATAAGGAAGGGCTGAGCATGGAACATTGGCTCAGATGGGACAGGGCCCCGGAGCCCCTCACGTGCTCCCCTCCAAATGTCCCAGTCCCTGCTGGGATGTCTTGCATCCCTTTTGTACCCAGCCAAAGTCTGTGACACACACCTCTCCCATACCCACAGACCCTTCCCAGCTTCCGTGGGGCTCCAGCTGGGCATTTCTCAGGTGGCTCAGTCTTTCCCTCTATGGCGGGCCCTGGAAAGCTGCCAAAATGCCAGTGCCAGGCCCTAGGCCAAGAGGGTGACACCTGCTATCTCCACGAACGCCCTGAGCCCAGCGCGACCCTCACTTTTACAGAAGCTCAGAGGGACTGGGTGACTCGTCGGGGTCACACAGGCTGGACACAGCTAGAACAGCAGATGACAAGCAGGACTGCCTGGGCCAGGGAGGGCCGGCTGCACCCGCCTGGCTACCCACAGCTTTGTGTAAGGCCACGTCCTGTCCCAGTTCCCCGCCCCTCCTGGACCTGCTGCCTCTGACACCCAGAGCCTCCCTACTCCCAGGCTGGCAGAGACCGTGCACTGCCCAGGTGCATACAGAGTCCCAGAGCAGAGGAGAAGGAGGAGGGAAAGGCAGGCTGCCGCAGGAGGTGTGGAAGCCACCACAGCTTAAGGATTGGAGGTAGAGGGGGCGTAGGGAAGTGCCTTCCCACCAGCCCCGAGGCCACCAGCTGAGGGAGCCAAGCTTGGCAACAGCTTGGAAGGTGGGGCACTTGGCATTGCCCATCCACTGCAGGGAGGTGGGAGGGGCAGCTGGGTTTGGAGGGAGGCCATTGTACAGATGGAGAAACTGAGGCATGGGGCGAGGAAGAGATGCCCAGGAGGTATGGAGGCCAGGCCTCACCTCAGTCAACACTCACCTCTCTGAGCTGTGAGGGGATGGAGAGCCCCGGTGGGGAGAAGCCCATCCAGCCGGCTGAGGGGAAAGGGCCTGAAGCCAGATGGTGGAACTGGGGGATCGGGATGGGAGTGGGGAATCCTCCCCTCTCTGAGCTCGTTCCTGCTCCTGGCTGGAGGGTGGTATGAACTCCCCTTCCAGGGTCACTGAGAGCACTGAAGGAGAGAAGCCTGGGGGGCATTCTGGAAGCTTCCCCCCCCCCACCGCAGTGACACCAGGGAGACCCATTGGTACAGGTGGGGCCCCATCATAAAGGGCTCGCTGTGCACACTCAGCACCGTGCTCTGGACTGACCCAGAACTGCCGCACTGAATCCACTCAGCAGCCCAATGAGGTGGGTACCGTTGTGATCCTCATTTTACAGGTGGGGAAACTGAGGCACGGGGAGGTGAAACAGCTTGTCTGAGATCTCACAGTCACTGAATAGGGGAGCTGGGTTCTCAGGTCTGAACCTATGTGTAGCAGAGGAATCTGCGGGCCGTTCACCTGGCACAGTCCCACATTTGGGACCAGGGGAATGAGAGAAGGGACAAAAATGCACTCTGCCCCTCCATCAAATAGCCACAGAGAGCCTGCCGTGTGCCAGGCAGCCGTCAGAGCGCACAGAGAGGGATGTGGTCTGCTTTTGGTGTTTAAAGAGATCACAGTCAGGGGAGGCCCAGTCAACCTCAACCCTGTACCACCACCTCCCCCACTGCCAGTGCCCCGGGGATCTACAGTAGCTCCAGAACAGGGCCACATTCCCAGGAAAATTCAAGCGTATGTGGATCGTATTCCTCTGCTGGGAGCCACACCCAGTGGAAACAGTAGCAGGCTGAGGCTGGCCAAGAATTCAGCCTCGTCCTGCCCAGAAAGCCCGGAGAGCCAGGCTGAGCAGACCCAGATAAAGAGCCCACTGTGTGCCAGGCACTTTACAGAAGTTATTGTGCACAACCGCGCTAGGGGGCGGGACTTCCAAACCCTCCCCCCCCCCCCCCCCCCCCCCCCCCGTTCAGAGAGGTGAAGCAGCTTGCCTGAGGGAGCGCAACCCCGCTTTATAGATCTACCATCTGACCCCTGGTCTGTGCCCTGGGCCACCCGGGCCGGCCCAAAGTGGCTGTGTCAGCATCGGGCATGGCCCATATTCCTCCTCGGGAAAATCCACAGAGTTCGTATCTGGGGCTACCTTGGTGACTATGAATGAGCAGCCTCTCCACCCTGGACCTCTGCTTCCTCCTCTGCCAAAGGGGCTTTTCGCTTCCCCGCCTCCTCCCAAGGCAGCAGCGCATCTCTGGCGGGAGACATCTCAAGGGGCCTGGGTAAATGGTAGCTCTCGCTGGGCCAGCCAGTGAGAATTCCCCAGTGGGAGGGCAGGCCCCCAAAGGAATGCTGTCCCCAAGAGTGCCTGAGTCATGCCACCTCTCCGTGGATGCAGGACGCCACGGTTTATGAGCTGGGTACAATGACTGCCTTTGGTAGACGGGACAGAGGGCCGTGGGCTTCCTGGGCAGGGCACGCACGGGTGGCGTGGGTGGACAGTTCAGCAGTGGCCTCTGGACTTAGTCCCTGTTTGCTCCTCCGATAACTGGGGTGACCTTAGTTAATATTCACCAGCAACCTCCCCCGTCATCCCTGTGGGTCCACGGCTTAAATAGACACTAGAGACAAGGCCCTGTCTCCTCAGCCTTGGTCACCGGCCCCGGCCTGGGACAGTAACTGTAAGTATGCCGTCCGCTGGGGAGATTCCCCGGAGGTCCCCATGCCGCCGAGCAGGCCCTGGGGATGCAGGGAGGATGGAACAGGCTGGGGCTGGAGCCCCTGTCGTCATGGCAACAGCAGCCCCGGAGGTCCCTCTCCGCTCCCAAGCCTGCCCCGGGGATACACTGGCCCTCGGGGAGCCATGGGGAAGTGGAGACCCCAGGAAGGAGCACACCTCTGTGGGCACAGCTCCTGTGTCCCTCCTGTTTGTTGTCCCTGCCGGCCTCACTACCTTCCCCGGGCTTCCCCTTCTGCGGGTGAGAAAGGTAAGGCCCAGAGAGGGACCGTGGGGAGCCCAGGCTCCCATAGAGACCTTGTGGGGAAGCCAGGCGGGACCAGAGCGCAGAGTTCCAGCCACTCATGGGCTCTCCATCCTCTGCAGAAACGCCCAGAACAGAACCATGCTGGACCCCCTGTGCGCGGTGGGTCTCTGTGCACCCTCATGCACACAGAGATGGAAGATGGGAAACCGTGGAGGGGGCCCCGGCTCGGGCTTTCAGCTGTGCTCCTGAGCCCTCGCTCTAGCCAGCGGGCTGCTGAGCTCCTTACATGCGGTCGGCCATTTGAGCCTTAGGACAACCTTCTGGGGTGGTTACTGAGATGATTCCCATTTTACAGATAAGGAAATCAGGAACGGGGAAGCTCATAACTTGCCCCAAATTACACACTATCCAGGATTCCAACTGGGGCCACCTAGCTCCAGAACTCACCCTCCCAAACCTCTTCCTCCCACCAACATAATTTTCTTGGGTCTTAGGACCCAGCTGGGGAATGGGAGAAACCCAGGTGGCCTTGAGGCCTCTTTGATGCGGGGTGACCCTGGGCCACTGCTCAACCTCTCTGTCCTCTTGGACAAACTGTAGACAACCTTTGCCCTCTTTCCTCTCACCCCACCCTGGCCCCCCAGCCTTGATCTCTGGAGCATGGGAAGGATATAATTTTTCTGTCATCAGTTCTTGGAGATGGGGGCTACAAAGATGACCAAGGCCAAGGCCACCAGACTCCTATGCAGTGCTCCGAAAGATCCGTAACTATATCGATAACAGCTAAGCCTCCCTGACAGCTGACTTTGTGTCAAGCATTTCTTGGCACTTTGTACATATTTAACTGGCACAACAGTTCTGTGAGGAAGTGCACCCTTGTCATCTCCAGGAAACGGAGTTTCAGAGAGGTTAATTAACCTGTCCAAGGTCACACAGCTGCTATGGAATTGAACTCAGGCATCGTGGCCTCAGAGCCACTGGCCAGAGCCACATGCGATGCCCTCTTCATTTAGCCCGACCACATCCAAGCATTTTCTGTTGCAAGGTCTCTGGCTTTAGCTTTGTAAACAGAGAAGGATTGAATGTCAAGTCCTAGAATCAAAATGCCCAGCATTAAATCCCAGATTCATAAGCAACCAGGTCTGTGGTTTTCAGTAAGTGGCTCAACCTCTGGAGGCCTCAATTTCTCCACCTATAAAATGGGGCTAATAATCATTCCCGCTCCACAGGGTAAGCGTTGAGGGGACATTAGATGAGACAGTGAGCATAAAACACCTGCTGCTTACTGGGTGTGACCACCGGGATGGTGATGCTGGTGCTGGTGTTCGTTCGGCACGGGCTTTGGCAGCTAGGAGGCAATACATAAATACTCGGAGAATTGAATTTAAAATTCTCCAAACTCAGAGGTAGTTCCTGGCCTAGCAGGGGCCACGTCTCTGGTCCTGGGCAATGTGGCAACTGGCCAGGAAGAAATCTGCCGGTTTTTACACGTGCACCCTACCTGCGCGCAGGTACGGGGAGAGCTTCCACACCTGGCAGGTGCCCGCCCGCCCACCCACCGCCTTGTTCGTCCCTCACATCTGCCTGGTGAGGGATTCTTTTCCCCACAGACAGGAAGCCATGGCTCAAAAGAGTGAGGTCACCTTCCCGGGGCTACTTGCCCAAACTCGGCAGGGCTGGGTCACACGTGGGCTTATTCAGTGTCAGGGTTTAGCAGGTCGTTGATGCCCCAGTGGCTTTCCTGGACCTCCCTGGGTCACCCCTGATCATTCCTTTTGTGCTCATGGGTGGAATAGAATCCAACCAGGTAAAGAGAGGGCTCACTTCCTGTGCCCCCACCTGCACACTGCTCCCACCAGCCCTGGACGCCGGGAATGTCACCGTGACGTCTTCATTCTTTTGGTTTAAAGCTTGGTCTGTCTATACACCTCTGGGTGCTTCACTATCTACCTTACCCACTCCCGTTGCCTTCCCCAGCATTAGGTTTGGGGGGATGCAGGGTGCGGCCTTTGATAAAAGGGCATGGAGAAAGCAGAAGTCTGGGGTCCCTGAAGTTGGAAAGATTACTTGAGAGACAAAAGGAAGCCGACAGGAGGCCCAAGCCCAGTGTGAGGGTCCCTCGGGGCTACGTATCACGTAGCGTGCGGTCCATCAGGTTTGGATTACTTAGAGGCACGAAGGCCAGAGAAAGGGTGGCGAAGAGAGACCAGTGCTGTGCTTCATTTTGTTGTTTGATTCGAAAGAAACTTTTATAAAAAGCCTGCGACGATAGCCTTCCTCATTTCCAGCTTCTTCCCCCCAGGTTTTCAAATTCCAAATTCAAGGATTCCTTTGTCTTTGTGTTTTACTAAAATGATGAGTTTAGTTCCATGAGAAATAGCTAGCCGTGCAGCTGCAGGTACACTCTCCTCTGCTTGGACCTCAGTTTCCCCATCTGTTAGGGGAGCAGGTTGTACTCAGGTGGTGCAGACTGGTGGCCCTGAGGCGGGGGCACATCTGGGAGCCACGGAACACATGTCCCTCCCCTGCCTGCCCTCCGAAGGCTTCTGATTTGCAACCCCTAGCAGGTTCTAGAGCCTGTCAGTGTGAGGTCTGATGCATGGACTTATTTCACAAAATTCTCCCAACACCCTCACTTTCTATATGAGGTAGAATGAGAACCAGGGAGACCAAGTGGCCTGTCCTGGGTCAGATGGTTGGCAGTGACAGAGCTCACATTAGAACTCAGGGCTGTCTGAAAAAGAGATGTTTTTTTAACTCCTACACCCCACCCCACACACAAGTACACAACCCCCAACTTACTGGAGAAATCAGTATCTCTACAGCCCGCATCTCTGCCAGGCCCAGAGCCAGGGCAGAGGTGGTGATGAGGATGGGCAGGTAACCTGACCGCAGGGACCGCAGCCCATTCGTGTGGCTGAGGCCACAGATGCATGTGGGGCTGCCCTTCGGCTCAAGCAGAGCGGCTGGGGGCTGAGGTTCACCATGACTGGTGAGTGGGGACAGCCCTGCAGCTCCATGCATTCTGGCTGTGTGTCACTGGGCAGAATCTTACCCTCTCTGGGCAGCAGCTTCATGTCCATTAAATAAAAGGAGCTAGTGGAAATGTTCCCATTCCACATCCAGTCATAGCTGAGCCTGACCTGGCCCGATCCCTGGGTAGTCGTGCACCCATACATTGTGCTTCCTGTGCCTCAGTTGCCCCTTATGGGAGACAGGGGCTGACCCCTGCGCCCAGGGCCACTGCAGGGGGTAGGGCAGCCGTCAAGAGCAGGGACTCCCACCCAGGCGGCCCGGGTCTGTGATTCTGCTCCTGCTACTTTCCTGCTCTGTGGCCTTGGGCAGGTGGCTTTAACCCCTCTGGCCTTCGGTCTCCTCCTCTGTGAATGGGCAATGGCCCTGTGCCCTAGGTCACGGGTCATCAAAGAGGACCATGAGCTGAGACAGCCAAGTGCCTAGAATGGGGCTCGGCACACGGTGAGCCCTGTAAAGTCTCTGCTACTGTCCTGTCCTTGCGTGATGAGGACGTAGGAGAGTGCTTGGCCCAGCGCCGGGTAAACTCCGGATGCTCCACCTGGGGTCAGTCAGTGGCCGGGGGACTCACCGTGTGGCCTGACTCGGGCGTGGTGCCCCTCCTCTCTCTCTTGCAGGACAATGCCATCCTCCATCACCTGGGGCCTCCTCCTGCTGGCAGGTCTGTGCTGCCTGGCCCCCCGCTCCCTGGCTCAGGGTCTCCAGGGAGACGCTGTCCAGGACACAAATGCATCCCAGCACAATCACGAGCACCACCGGGAGCCAGCCTGCCACAAGATCGCCCTGAACCTGGCTGACTTCGCCTTCAGCATGTACCGCCAGGTGGCTCACGAGTCCAACACCACCAACATCTTCTTCTCCCCCGTGGGCATCACTACAGCCTTTGCGATGCTCTCTCTGGGGGCTAAGGGTGACACTCACGGCCAGATCATGAAGGGCCTCGGTTTCAACCTCACTGAGAGAGCAGAGAGTGAGGTCCACCAAGCCTTCCAGGAACTCCTCCGCACCCTCAACCACCCAGACAACCAGCTGCAGCTGACCACTGGCAATGGTCTCTTCATTACTGAGGGCATGAAGCTACTGAATAAGTTTTTGGAGGATGTCAAGAACCTGTACCACTCAGAAGCCTTCTCTATCAACTTCGGGGACACTGAAGCGGCCAAGAAACAGATCAATGATTATGTAGAGAAGGGAACCCAAGGGAAAATTGTGAATTTGGTCCAAGATCTTGACAAAGACACAGTTTTCGCTCTGGTGAATTACATTTTCTTTAAAGGTAAGGTTGCAACACCAGCCTGAGCTGTTTCCCACAAACACATCCAAAAATATTCTCAAACATGCAGTTGTTAAACTTTCCATAGCGGTGCAGAATAAGTGGGCAGTGAGTCTCCACATGTGTTATTTGGTTTCCCACACACTACCACTGTCATACTTTCCGCGATCAACTAAGGTCAGGCAATGATGGGTGGGACAGTCAAATCATCATCTTCTCTGCAGGACTTCTCAGAGCCTTCAATGTCCTAGTGTGCCTTGTCGATCCCTACCAGGGAGGGAGGTAAAATAGACAGTTTTAGCAGAGTGTATGAAGGGACTGGGGTTTCTTGGAACACAATTTCTGATAACTCCAGTGCAGTGGAAGCAGGGACACCTTTGGAGTCAGAAGCACCAGGGTTGGAATCCTTCCCTTACCGATTATTAGCTGTTTGACTGTGGGCAGGTCATCGTTCCACTTTGAGGTTTCCCCTCTGTGACGGGAACATAGTAATACCCTTGTTGTCAGGTTTCTGTGAGGACTGAACAAGTTACAAAGAACACGGAACCACAGGCTCATGTAACAGGTGCTCAACTGAACTTGAATCTCAACCTGGCCTCCTCCCTGAGGATGGCAATGTGGGGGGCCTGTGGGCCGCAGAGGGCACTCTAAGGTAGTGGAATAGCCCATGGAGATGGCCTGGTGGGGGAGGTAAGAGTGAGGCCAGGGTGGCCTCCTTCACTGCACCAGCTCCTCATTCTGGAGGCAACAGTGCAATGGAGAGCCCTGGGCCAGAGTCAGCACGTCTTAGGTCCCAGCTCTGCTGTCCAATGGGAGAGTTGGGCGCAGGGGCCCCCAGGGCACACCCCCCCCCACTCTGACTTGCCCGGACAGGGCCGCTGTCTTGGCGTGGGGGTGGGGGGGTGGGGAGGAGCTACCCAGGCATCTGCATTCTGCACGGTGATCCAAGGAAAGCTTTGGAGTCGGAGGGAGAGTGATTCCCTGAATGATAAGAACCGCCCGCTAACAAGGGGCAGGGAGACTCGGACAAGGAGGTGCCGAGTAGGACTGATGTCAATCATTTTCCTTTAGAATCTCCCAAGCCACCCTCAAATAAGTAAGCATGAAATACAAGTAAAAATCCTCACTCTGCACATCCAGCTTGGCATCCCTTAGCCTCCATAAGATAGACATTCTGGATCCTACTCAGGTCTTGCATTGTTCTCACAAAAGTCCTTTCAGTAGATTTCACAGCAGCCCCATTTTACAGCTGGTGAAACAGGTTCAAAGAGGAGGATCTCAGCGAGGAGGTGCAGGGCTTTTTTATCCCCCCCCCCCCCCGCATTATCCCAACCTTCTCCCACCTCTGACTGAGGCCACCTTCCTTCTCTCCAGGCAAATGGGAGAAGCCCTTCCAGGAGGAGCATACCACAGTGGAGGACTTCCACGTGGATGAGCACACGACCGTCCAGGTGCCCATGATGAGCCGCCTGGGCATGTTCGACATCTATCACTGTGACAAGCTGTCCAGCTGGGTGCTGCTCATGGACTACGTGGGCAACGCCATTGCCATCTTCATCCTCCCCGACCAGGGCAAGATGCAGCAGTTGGAGGACATGCTGACCAAGGAACTCCTGGCCAAGTTCCTGGAAAACAGACACACCAGGTGATTCCCAAAGCAGAGAACAGCCCGGGCGCTGCCTCGTCGGGACCAGCCACCGGGAGGGAGGGTGGACCCACATCCCATGGATCGCACAACTGCGCATGACCCGATGTCCCGGACACAGGCTCATGTCACTCCCACCGCACCGGCCGGGCTCTGGGAGAGGGACAGTGCCCACGGGGAGGAGACCAAAGCCCTGTGTCCTTGGGGACTCCCCCCTCCCCGGACACTGCCGCTTCCCTGTGCCAGCACCCGGAGCAGGGTGAGCAACGCCAGCATGAGCCCTGGAGAACCGAGAAAGGAGACATGGGCTTCTGGAAAGGGAAACAGTGGATGTGGACTTAGAGGAGGGACAGTCAGGGCTAGAAGGGGAGAGCTCGCCTGGGGACCAGAAAAGCACAGGCCCAGGTGGGTTTGGGTTCCTCTGTCACTAGACCAATGCGGTTTGGTGAGGTCCCCAAGTGAAGTGATATGTGAGCATGCAGCCCAGATTCGTGCATCACTGGGTAGTCATACGATGCCCAAGGCCTCAGGAACTAGTTTATCGGGTCCACTCCAAAATACGCATACTTTTATAAATGCATGCAGTAAGAATATAGAAAAATAATCAAATACATTAAAATTAGAATTAAGAAATAAAATTAATATCCAGAAGATGATATAATACACATATACATACATAAATAAATATAAGAATAGAAAAGAGCATAAGGTTAAAATTAAAATAGCAGTTTTAAGACCTCTTCCCTGCCCCCCGCCCCGGCCCCACGGACCTCACCCCTGTGTTCCCTGCACCAGAGGCTGAAGAAGGAGACAAGGTGGGGTAGAACCCAGAGCCGCTCATGGGAAGCCTCCATGCCCATCAGCTCACTCTGGCAGACCCTTGATGCAGGCCCTGGAGAAGTCCCCATCTGGGGGGACCTGACCCTGCAGGGCAGTGTGCTAAGTGCTCCCCAGTGGAGTGCCCAGAGGGCTGCTCAGAGGAGGCAGGAGGCAGCCCCTGAGACTTTGCAGGACAAGCTCATCCCTGTGACTCTACATTCTTTGGCCCCGGGGGCTGGAGGAACGAGAAATAGAATAAACCCATGCACACCTCCAGTCCTCCTGTGGGAGGGAGAAACAGCCAGAAATGAGACACTCCATGTGTGAAACCCCCTTGTTTCCTGTCATGACAGGTCTGCCAGTTTACGTTTGCCCAAACTGTCCATCTCTGGAACCTACGATCTGAAAACCATCCTGAGCAAAATGGGCATCACCAAGGTCTTCAGCAACGAGGCTGAGCTCTCAGGGATCACGGAGCAAGGGCCCCTGAAGCTGTCCAAGGTGAGTTGTCCCTGGCGTCTGTGGGTCAGAAGGTGTCACAGCATGTACGGGACCATAGCTCAGAGGTGGTCTGGGGAAGGGACAAAGGGACACAGACGTACCTGCGGACCGAGGTCCCTGAGGAGTGCCACTGAATCTACTGGGACTGGAATGTGTGCAGGTGACAGTGGAGGAGGGGTCTCACGGGCTTCTGCCATGCTAGGGACTTCCTGGATGCTGGTGGCACTGACCCTCTGGGTCATCTTTGGCCAGGGCCTTCCCTTCTTTGGGCCTCGATGGACCCATATTTACCAAGACAGGCTTGGGCTCAGGGATTTCAAAGAACTTTTGTCCCCTGCGTCTGGGACCCAGGAGCTACTGGCCAATCACAGAGTCTGAGTTAACAAGTGATTTTGTCTAAAGATGACATTTATTCAGGAGAGTGGAAGGTGACCAAAGACACCACTGCAGCTCAATGGCTGGCTGGGAACTGAGTGCCTGGCGTGGACCAGGCACAGGGAAGGTCCCCGTCAACGTCCTGGGCCCCCGGGCACTTGACATCTGATACTGGAAACAAGACAGGGGCCAAGGAAGACGAATCACGGGGAAGTCTCCCTGCTGGGGTTGTGGGCGGCTTCCTGGGGAGGCTGAGAAGGTTGGTGAAAGTAGGGTCCACCGGTGGAGTCAGGCAAGGGCTGGAGAAGGTGCTGAAGGCCTGTGTGTTGTCTGTAGCGAGGGAGGCCAGGGGTGGGGAAAGACAGGCTGGGTGGAGGAAGGCCTGAGTGAGCCCCTCCCTGGGCCCCTGCTCCCCTCCTCTGGCCTTGCTCCCAGGCTGGGGGAGGGGACAGCTCCGCTCAGCACAGGCCCCTGTTCTCTCTCCCTGCAGGGGCTGCATAAAGCTGTGCTGACCATCGACGAGAAAGGGACAGAAGCTGCCGGGGCCGTGTTTACGGAAGCCATCCCCATGTCGATGCCCCCGAGTATTGACTTCAACAGCCCCTTCCTCATCATCATCTATGATAGAAACACCAAGAGCCCCCTCTTCATGGGAAAGGTGGTGAACCCCACCCAAAAGTAACTGCCTTTTGGGTTCAGCTCCCTCCCGAGATGACATTAAAGAGTGACCCGGCCCAGGCTCGAGTGTGACGTGTGAATCCTTCAGCCCCTCATCTCTCAGGTCTCCCTCTCCGTCCCCAGGAAGTGGGTGGGACGGTCACAGCATGTCCCCTGTAGGCACTGTCCTACCCTGTGTCCTACTTACACTGTCCAGGAGCTGTGCTAGGCCAGGAAGAAACACTGCCAGCAACACACCATTTAGCGGCTCTTCCGCAGTCACTATGCAAAAGTCTAGGCTCTCGGTCTCATCTGGGAATCGCCCAGGGGGATCGCAAGGGCTCAGATACCAGCCCGCAGCCCCCACCTCCACCAAGCATCCGTCGCCGGCTAAGCCCCCTAGCCCTGGTGCTGCTCGCGGTGCCCCCCATGAGAGCCCGCCACCCCCCCGCCCCGCAGGGCTGCCGGCACCAAACCCGAGGCTGCGCCCCCGTCCCCCGTGGCTCCCAGGGCCTTCAGCTCACACGGGGGCTTGGAGCTGCTACACTTCCAACAACAAAGAGAGACGACTCGGTCCCCTTCTCATCCCACCTTGTCACCTGAGCCAGGCTTGGGCTCCTACCGCTCAAAGGTCTTTCCTGCAAAAAGCTATGGTTGATTTTTCCTGGAAACCTTTTCAGTGGGGCTAGGCTGGGAACACATATTTTGTCCTTGTCTTCCATCTCTGTCCCAGGACCCTCAAACACATGACCCCCAGCAGCAAGCAGGTCTTCCGCATCCTCTTCTCTCCAGGTGGGTCTCTGGGTCTTAGTCTGTCTCACCTGCTCAGACTCATCCCGGTTTGCCAGAGCCCCAAGCCACTTACCCTGTGTCCTCTTCTACCCAATCATGGGGCCAAGCTGTGGCTCTGGAAACTCATTCCAATGAGTCCTTGGTCATGGGAGAGGATCCAGGCCATCAACCCCACTAGCCCTCCTTGCCCTCCCTTGGCTAAGCTCTGACAGGGGACACTTTTCATCTGGCCTTATTCCTGCCCCACGGCCCACCCTGTGGTCTTCCCAGGGAAACCACAACTCCTACCACAGCTAGTGGCCATCCCAGGAGCAGCCCTTTCACTAAGGGCCATGTGGCTCTTTCTCATCCTCCAGAGTCCCACGGAAGGGTTATGGCACTCAGGAAGTCTGCCGGACCCCCAGCCTGAGGGAGCCAGCTCCCGGGACTCACAGGAATGTGCTTGTCTGTGGCCAAGACTGCCCCATCCCATAAGAACCTAGTAACGCCCCCCTGAGTCACTCACGGGGGCTGACCGCACATCTACACAACTGCAGTGAGTCATGTGAAATTTACACCTTTTATGTCAGAAAGGCCACATGTGTGCAATTCCATGTAATTCAATATAATGGGTAAAAATTCAGCTGTCTCCCAGATAAGTCTGATATCATCCTGATTTCTCCTCCTGGACACATCCAACCTCCCCAAATTCCATTAATGAGACAACCAGTGTCAAACACCTGGGACGATGCCAGAGTGAGAGCAGGTCCAGACCCTGCAGCGTCCCAGCTGTGTGACTTTGGCGAAGTCACCAAACCTCTCTGGGCATCAGCATCTTCATCACGGTTGTAACAAAGACTGAGTTGGTGTATGCTTCAAAACAGGTACTCAAAACAACTTTTGCAGGAGAGCAGAGCTGGGTGCCAATGTAAGGGGTGACATTTGTGATATTCATGAGCGCCTCTGTAAGCCTGGAGCCCCTCGAGGGGCAATTCTGGCATTTACTCCTCACTCAGCACTGTGGAGCGGCGAGTGGAAGCTGCTCAGCTCTCATGCGCCCATTCTCCAGATGAAGAAACAGAGGCTCAGAAAGGCCGCTGGTCTTGCTCAAGGTCACGGAGCTCATAAGTGGCAGAGTTGGCTTCAGGAGCCCCACTTGTTCCTGCAAACTTCAGCACACCACCCACGCTCCCCCCAGACACCCACAAGCTAGATTCCTGCCTGGAGCACGAGCGATGCTGGGGCGCACAGCCTCCTGCCGAAGATACCCGTGCGGGAAAACACCCTCTGCCCCAGAGGACAAGCAGCCGATTTGCAGGAGCCCTTCTCACCCGAGGCTGAAGAGCTCACAGCCTTCAGCAAGCAACCTGCACAACACTGCACACCCCCCAGTACTGGGGAGGGAAGGGGGCACATGCAAAGGCCAGCTGGGACTCCTGGAGCCCAGGGAAAAACCAAAAAGCTGGAAGACCTAAGGGCGCTCACCTAAGAAACCATCATTCCACTTCCAAGAATGGTCTACAGGTACATTCATCTGGGCTGTGGTGGCAGAAACCCAATGCAGATGAGCTGAAAGTCCCCGGTGCGGAGGTCACAGGCTCTTGAGAACCCACAGGGTCCATGCGTGGGTGGGCAAAACATGCAAACAACCTTGTCGTAAGGAGGACAGGAGTGTGACACCAATCAGCCAGGGCAGCCAGAAGCCTCGGCTTTGCCTGTTCTTTCAAATGTAGTCACTGCCTAGTATGACCCTCAAAACCAGTCCCTGAAGGACCCAGGCTGCCATTCGTTATCCCCCATTGACAGATGGAGGTTAGACGACCTGCCCAGCACGGGCCTGGAAATCAGGTGCCGCACTCAGGCCCGGGCTACCCCAAGAGCGTGGGATGTCCCATCCATCTCGGATCTTACGGGCGAGTCCAACCTCCCGGTCCACGCGAGAGCCACCTGTCTGGCCCAAGGCCAGCTGCAGCCCGGCCACTGAGGCCTGGGGGCTGGCGTGCATGTTCCAGCAACTCTGGGGGAGGCGGGGCTGAGTCACAGGGGCCAGGCTAACGGCGGGACAGTCCCGCAGGGAAGGGCCTGGCCCGGGTGGGGCTGAAGGCTGATTGCCAGGGACATTTGTTCTCAGAAGTCAGAGCTGCCTTTCCACGACCCAGTGCCCACTAAAAGTCACTTCCGAGCCATAAGACTCAGGACACATTTCAAGACTCCTGACCGTGGCAGAGTAAAGAAATCACTTTGTTCGTTTATGCACAATTGCCAACGTCTGCTGTTCTGTTCACTGTGCTCTCTGTGAAAGGCGCACCACGGCATTAAACGACTTCTGGCAGCTCTGATTTTTCATCATCACATCGCGTGCAGTTGGATTTGCTGAAACAAATCTTAAATGTGCCTCTTAAATGTTGATGGCTGTCTGTAAATTGCCCTCCCCTCAAAAAAGGTGATTCCAATTTACATTCCCACCATAAGAACAATCGTCTTCTTACGATCGTTGTCCATCCAGTAGATTACAACAGGCTCGTTTCAGGGAGGTCTCAATACTACGGACGAGCTCACTCACTTATACATGTAAGGGCCACTGAGGTTTCCTTCGCTGTGACATGGGTCCTTGTCCAGAGCCCCCGTCCATCCTCCTTCCCTCCACCACCACGGTCAGCCCAGGTGCGTCGGCCCCACCCCATCACCACCTGCCTTCCTGCTTCCAGAAATCATGGGGCACATCCTGAGAGTGAATTGGACTGACTGTGCTGTGATAGATTTGGGCTCCCCCCCAAGACAGCTGACAGCAAGTTGGCATCTTTCGGCACCAGGTTTCTAGCCAAAAGGTCTGGAGATGTCATGGGAGCCAGCTGGGAGAGGGAGGGCAGGGGGAGAGGTGCCAAGCACCTGCAGGGCACGCAGGCCCCGCTGTGAGACTGCTCCCCCCAGAGTGTTGCCCTCCCGCCCCCAGCTTGGGGCTGGTTCCCAGGCTGCACGTCCGGGGTGGGGGGCCCCATGGCTGTGCCCTGCGGCTGAGCGCTGGGCCGCCCGCCGCTCAGGGAGCTGAGTTGCGGAACCACCAGAGGCATGTTAAGGTCTGTGGGCTGCCGGGCCGCTCTGCAGGGCCCAGACTTGGGGCCACTTCCCACGGGACCCAGGGCCGGAGGGCAGCGAGTCTCCCGCAGCCCGCCTGGTCACAGATGCCACAGAACCCTGCTTTTGGGTGGACCTGGAAAAAGTGTTTCTTGCTCCCGCGATCAGGATAAAAAGACCAGCAAACTGCAGGTTCAGACTTTGGTTAATAGCATTGATATTGAGTCCTCGATTGTCACAAGTGTCCCACAGCTGTGCAAGATGTTACTATCAGGGGAACTGGGGTGCAAGGGGGGGAAGGTACCTGGGAACTCTCTGGACTTTCTTTTTTTTTTTTTTTTTAAGATTTTATTTATTTGACAGAGGGAAACACAGCGAGAGAGGGAACACAAGCAGGGGGAGTGGGAGAGGGAGAAGCAGGCTTCCCGCCGAGCAGGGAGCCCAATGCGGGGCTCGAACCCAGGACCCCGGGATCATGACCCGAGCTGAAGGCAGACGCTTAACTACTGAGCCACTCAGGCGCCCCCTCTCTGTACTTTCTGTGCAACTGTTAAAGTCTTCATTTATGTAATTTATTTATTTATTTATTTATTTATTTATTTACTCTATTTGCTCTACCACGAACGAAGGCGCCCTGGGCGCTAGGGAAGCCACCACCCTTCTGTGAGCCTCGCTTTTCTCACCAGTAAAATGGGAGCACTAAGCTCCTTTGGGTCCTGATATTCTGCAAGATACTCACCACCTCAAGGCAGCCCAATGCTGTTCTTTCCCATGATAGTAGGCCCTATATCGTGATGCACCTGGCAGGTGCCTGTTACCTCCTTTCTGTGCCCAGACAAATGGACTTTGGAGCCCAAAGGACACAGATTCCAGCGCCCAGTGTGAAGATTCCAAGGGCTGGGACCTTGGCAGTCACAAGTTGGGTGACATCAGGCGGCCGACGTTTCTCGGAGATCAACCATGTGTCAGGCACTATTCTAGGCTCTGGAGGTGTTGTAATTCACTTTCTCCTCTCGATAGCTCTGTGAGGACAGTATCAGGGCAAAACGAACTCTGGGTCTTGCATGAACACGGGGCCCCAGCAGCCCATCCTTCCAATGGCCCTTGTGCCCGCTGGTTCCGCTGGACTAGGCCTCTTCAAAGAAGAACAGCAAGGCCCTCTGATGATATCAGGCACTCGCCGGCTGCACCCTGGAGGCTCCCAGGCTGATTTCCTGCAGCGGGGGTGGC